GCGGTCGCCGCGCGCGCGGTCGGGGGCGTTCTAGCAGTATAGTAGTAGCATCAGCACAAGCAATAGCTTGCAATACTTTTGATCATAATACCGCGTAGTAGTAGCAGCAGCAGCAGCAGCAGCAGGAGTAGTAGTAGTAGTAGTAGTAGTAGTAGTAGTAGTAGTAGTAGTAGTAGTAGTAGTAGTAGTAGTGATACTAGTAGCATTAGTAGCCGTAGTCGTAGTAGTAGTAGTAGTAGTAGCAGTAGTAGTAGTAATAGTACCAGCAGAAATAGTAGTAGTAGCAGTCGTAGTAGTAGCAGTCGTAGTAGTAGCAGCCGTAGTAGCAGTAGTAGTAGTAGCAGTAGTAGTAGTAGTAGTAGTAGCAGTAGTAGTAGTAGTAGCAGTAGCAGCAGCAGCGGCAGCAGTAGTAGTAGTAGGTGGTGGTAGCACTTGCGCCGGCCTTGCGCCTTCTTGCGCCTACGTCGTGTTTTCATATGTCTGGGATGATATCTATATTCCGCTATAGACTACATACAAGAGACGGGGTTTTCTGACGACCCTCATGTGTGTTTTTGAACATCGGCGCGTTCCAAGTGAACACGCACTTTTTGCATGTCCACATGAGTGTGTTCCACGTGAGCACATGTTTGTGTTCCAGGTGAAAGCATGCGATTGTTCTGGCAAAACACATATGCGATCCGGTCAAAGTTCTTAGTAAGGGAGTTTAGTCTACGGAGGCCGCCGTCGCAGTCGCTTTATGCAGTTTTTCATTCACACAAAGCGGAGTCCTGCAAATACCAATGGATTGCCCGCTCCCCACTGAAGGCGGCAGGATGGCACTTGGTTTGCGCTAGGGTCTTCGGTGATCTTGGTTTCCAAGAGTTGGCGCGTGGGTTGCCGCGATGGTTTTTGTGTGGCTTTCAAGGGTGTAATGTTGCAGTTCTTGCTTAGTACTTGGGGCAGACGCAAGCCCAGGGAACTTGGCCCTTTGGCTGTTGGGGCAATCAACCACCCCTAGGTATAAGTCTGCCTTGGGGTAAACAACGGAACCCTGCCAGGAAGTAGAACCACCCAAAATCGACCCAAGGGCGTGCGCGCTCAATTGATTTTTTCAGCCAGGGACGTGCCCTGCCTGAAAAGCCACTCTCCGCCTGGATGGTATAGGAGTTGTCATTGTAAGAGTTTACCTGGCGCGGCCCAACCTGGCCCCCACGCCGACCAACTCACCACTCCGAACCCCGGAGCCGATCCTTCAATTTCCGGTGGATATTTTTTTTCGCAGGTTCGCAGGTTCTGTTGGCAGCTGAGTGAGAACCTAGTACCAAAATGCCAAACCTATACGGACTTCGGCCGCTTCAATTGCGGCTCTCCACATGGTTCCGTTTTCAGGCCCGGCACCCTCGAGGAAACTAAGGGACAATTGCCGATTCTTGGGGGGTCCACCATCAGGTGGCTTTGTATATCCCTGCTTGGCTGGGTGCTAACGAGATGTTTGGAATGGGGTATTCATTGGGTCAAAGCTGGGTGTTCTTCAAAGAGGTCCTGGGTCTTAGGCCCTTCTAGAGGGCCCCTTGTAAGGTAGGGGCCTAAATAAAGAGAAGGGGAGTGTGGGGGTACTTTGAAACCAGATTCAGTCAGGGCAACAGGGGGAAAAAAAAGAACAACAACCCCCCCCAACAAAGAAGAAGCGAGCAACAACCACGTTTCCCCGAAAAGCAACAAAGTCAACCTCAAAAACCAAGGGCAAACGGGATTCCATGTCCAAAAGCTTCACCACGTTACAGCAGTCATTGCGAGAATAAGCACCAGAATGGCATGGTGCTTGTTTCATGGAACCTTTGAGTACTTAAACTACTGTCCTGGAGGGCTGGGAGGGGGGGGGGCAAAAGGACTGAAAAACACGGGGAACTTCCGACAGGTCCATTTATTGTCCTCTTGGGGAAGCTAACAGTTTATGCCGGGCCTTTCTGTTCTTTCTATGTTTTTTGACTTCCAGGGTCACAAACACGAACAGTCAATGGTCTGTACCAGGCTTCAATGACCCTCAAATTCCAGAAACATCCACCATGATAAACAAGTTGGTGGTGCCGTTCCGGAGCTATCCCAATTTGCCTGCGCCTTTCGATTCCAGAGCTCCGGTTAGGATGGAACTCAGTGGTGGCATGATCCTTTGCTTGGAGCCCTGCGACAGGGCGTCCTCAATGAAACACCCAGTGTGTTTCACCCAGAAAACCTGTGGCTTCTCGAATCGTGGCTTCCTATGGCATCCACGGCCGCTGGGGTGAACGCTTGAGCCAACTGTGGAAAGGGCTCAAAAGGACTGCGGTACTGGAAAAAAAGGATCCCAAAGAAAGGGGGGCTTTCACCGAGTCGCAACGAAAGATAGGCTTCCGCTCTCAAGTGGTGTTTCTGTTGGGTGCTTCCGTTCAGCAGCGTGAACTATAAGGAATGCCAAACATGGCCGCGGTTGTCCTTTTGGTTTCTCTTGAAACCAACCTGAACAGGGTATCCACGAAAAACACAAAGCCACATGAATCAGCGACACCTATGCCATCCTGCTCTGATCGTTCCAATCCCCCCTCCTTCGGTTTCGGTTTCAGTTGAAAATGAGACCCAAAACCAGGGACCCTAAACTACCTAGACCTTGGTATGAAAGAAAGACGAAGACCTGTGGTTTGCCCAGATGCTTAATTTTGAGCCACACCCCAATCTAGAAAATTTGTGAGGTGTCATTATTGCGGGGCCGATCTGGAAGTGCGGTGGAGGTATCCATGGCGCAATGGATGTCCTCGAAGTAGTACGGGAATAAGGAAATGAAATGCCTTTCCAATCTGTCCTGGGCACGTTTATAGCTTGCATGCCTGCGTTGAAGGCTTTGCTTTGGTAACTATTGGGTGCTCTTTCCGTTTGCTTGTTTGGCAGGCAGGTTGAAATTAAACGTAGTAGTGGGTATTGAAGCGCCTGGGCACGCACTGGCTGTTATCGTTTTTTTTGGGAGTCACTCGGGGCTGTAGACTAAATGCGGTACTCCAATTTTGCGGGATCCGAAATGAAAGAGTCATTATTCCGGGGGAGCTGTTAATCAGGTCGAAATTATGGGTACCATTCTTTGAGCAGCCATTGGTCGAACCGACTTGCACTTCCAGACCGGCCCCACAACAATGACACCTCACAATTTTCTAGATTGGTTGCGAGTTCGCATTGCTTGTGTTGCTTGCTTCTGCTGCTTGCTTTGACACGTGGAGCTGTGTCGACCTATGTGTTGTTTTTTCCCCCGAGGAAAAAACAAGTGCTCTCAGCGCCTTCAGCTCAGCGGTGTCGCCCTGGTTCATCTGAAAGAGCCCGTAGACGTTCATGGTAACATAGCTGCTCTCCGGGGAGCCTCAAGTCGGCGAGCAGAAAGCTCGGGACACTTGGTGTTTGGTGGCAATTCTTTTCATCCAAGTTTGGTTTACCCTCCCACCAACAAACATGGAAGTGGACAGAGGGGTTCCCCAAAAGGAGGAAAGTAGTCTTCCAACCCCCTCCTGTCAGCTTCCATGTTAGTCTGAGGGAGTGTAAGTCTAGTTTTGTTCGGCGTGCTTTGCTTTGGGCTGGGGGAAAGGTTTGTAGGATACCTGCTGATCTTTCCAAGTCGGTGGAGTCCACTGAATGAAAGAGGAACCAAGCTGAACCGGTTTGGTTCCATCCAAGTCTAAAGACCCCAAAAGGACGCCAACCTGACCTTCTCAAGACGTAAATTGAAACAAACACGCTCATCAGCCCAGGTTGCCACCCGGGTCAAAACGAACGTGGACGTTCCAAATGAGCCCCCAAAAAAGCAAACTACTACTTGGCCACCTCTGTTTGGTTTGTGCATGGGGTTACACACCGAAATGGGTTCGAACCCCGGCCGAGCTTGGTCTTTTTTGAGGTATGAACAAAGGTAGTTCAACCCTCCCCATGTTCAAAGTTCCTTCTGTTCAAACATCAAAAGAGTTGCGGGAATATGGCTAGTGTGTAAACAGAAAGATGGCTGAAGAGAATGCGTGGCCCACATTGGTACACAGAACATCATAATGTCCAGATTCAGTTTTCTGTTTAGCCTGGCCTGAAAAAAAAACATTGTTTTGGAGACACCAGAATGGGTATCACCGCCCAGGCAAAAACATCCGACGCGGATCCGACGCGGATCGAGGCCGAGGAAAACTGACGATGGCCTTGGATGACGTGCATCGGACTGAACGATGTCGCGCCGTTCCTGGGCCGGTGTTTTCTTCCAAGCCAAAATGGGGGCTTCTCAAAATGAAAATCGGTCCCCTAAAATATGGCCACGGTGTCCTTTTGCTTCCCCATATACCAACCCAAAAAGGGTTGGAATTCCATGAGAAACTCCCAATAAGTGCTCAAAGAGTGAGACGGCCTCTTGGTAAAAGGAGGTAAAAGAGGTAAACGGACTTACGTCGGTAGGGCGCCTGAGGGTTTTGTCTCCAAATGTCTGTGATCAAAACCGCACTTTACTGCATCCCCTGCATAAACCCCTAGCCCAAGAAATGATCCCCCAAACTCTGAGCCTCAAAAAGATTTGCTGCTCCCTACCAACGCTGACCTGGAACCTCAACAAAAAGAATCAAAAGTCTCCCCCTCAACAAAAAAAAAGGGAGTCTCCTCTACATGGGTTTCCACTTTGGCACACAGAAAGCGGCAAGCGCCCCCAAAACCCACCCCCAGCCCACAAACCTAGGACTTGAAGTCTCTCGCATCATGCAATGGGCTCATACTTTTTACCCAAACATCTCAACAAATCTTGGCCAAATTCCAAAAGACGATCCGATTCACAAGTGTCTCCTGGTGGTCCGCATGTTTTCCGATGCTCCTCCTACCATCTCCTTACAGAACTCCTAGCTTCTTAGATTCCTGTTTGAAGCCACAAATTTGTGTGTGTGTGTACCCCTAGCTCCAGAACAGCTCCAACCAAAAAACATTTATGTGTGTAGCCCTAGCTCCAGAACAGCTCCCTTCCAAGCAGCGAGTCTTTTCCCTCGCGCTAGCAAACTTTGGCCTTGGCCGCCCACCACCTCTCGAAGATCTGCAACAACTGAGGCTGCGCGGATGGGCACTTCGCAGCGACTGCCGAGACGGAGGTGAGGCGCCAGGGCTTCCAGTCGGCGATGAAATGCACCATCGCCGCGTTCTCCTGGAAAGCGTTGGCTTGAGGCTTGGGGTGCCTTGGAGGGAGAGGGGGTGGCCTTGGGGGGGGGTTGGTTATGGATAACGCTGAAAATAAACTCTTTGGCATGGCTGCCAAGGCTCCCCTCGCTGTGATGAGTGGTAAATGAAAGCACTGGGTCCCATAAAAAACATTGTAAACATGCTTGCGGGAAAACAGCTCGAAATCTGCCCTGTTTCATAAAGATTGGCAAACCAAAAAGGTCAAAAAGTCGATTTGCTTTGGACAAGATCTCCATGACCCACTGAGAGCTCTTCTCAAAATGGTTCTGCCAATGCTTGTAGATGCCATCGCTGCCACACCACTCTCCAATGAGCAAGGCATAGAAACCATCTAGCACATCCATTCGATCACGGAAGTGAGCATTGACCCAATCCATCTCGCCCCCCACTTCCTTGGTGGCTCGCTCCCTCGCTAAAAGTCAAAAGGTCTAATAGGGGATACGTGAAAAGCAAGCCTGGGGGTATGTGGCTATGGCTCAAAACCCCATACCCCATTGAACATCGCAATCCGCACCAAAATGGGTGGTGCACCTACCCCAAAACGGGATTTCATTGGTTTTGACCACCACAGCTATGGCTGGGAACTGCCAAGCTTCCCCAACAGAAGCATTCATGGGCTCGGAGAAATCTCGGCTGTAGAAGAGCCTTCGTGGATCAATGACCATCGGGCCGCCACTCTGAACAAACGGCTGCTCTAGCCAGTATGCCCGCGGCGCGGCGATCTCCACCGGGAACCGTGCAATGTCGAACAAGTTGTCAAGACCTCAGCCCGGAGCATCGCCATAGAAAAAAAGCCACGCCCTTCGTTGATGTTTAAAGGGAGACGTCCCCAAGAAAAAAAGACCAAGGGTATCCAAGAGACTTCCCAGGGGGAATGCGTCCACATCAAAGTAGACCACCCGATCATACTGAAAGAGCTCCGCCGCCCGAAGTTTGAGAAAAGATTCCCGCCACTGATACTCTCCCTTCGCTGCCGCTTCTTCCACCCGAATCAACTTGATACCCAGTGTCTCGAATCTCGGTCTCCCAGGCACAGCGCCGTTGTAGATGGCAACCAGATCGACATTCGGCCGCAAACCTGTCCGCACAGTGGAAGCAGCCACCAAAACCGCGCAGGCAATGTCATCATCTCCATCCGCCAAATACCACACCTTGGTTTGGTCTCCTGCAAAGAGCTAAGCTATTTGCTGGATAGTGTGAATTGTCAATTTCCGAAAAAGTTGAAAGGTTGCGGGTCATACCAAAGAGTAACCAAGTCACATAGGCGAACTTGTTCGGCTGCAGAAACGCGCCTTTCGACTGCACCAAGCTGCCAGACAACAGTGGTTCCGGCCCCGGCCGTATGCAAACAGCTGGAGCTGCCAGCAGAAATGCGCGAATCATTTGTCCACACCACATTTGCAGGGCGAACTACATGGAGGTCCCTCTCGAATGGATGAACACGCTCAGAGCCGGAAGGCTGCAAGAGCTCTGAGAACTGCGTCTAAGCCTGGTGGTCATTGCCCTCTGAAAAAGAGCCAAAAGTCAGAGTTCCACCCAAAAAGTGGGGTCATTCAAGTTCAACCACGGGGGCGACCCTTCAAAAGCAGGCCACCCTCGTTTACTTGGCCCAACTCAGGGGTAGGCAGGCCACATAAGGCCAAAAGGACAACCTTTGGGCGTCTTGGAGGAGAAACCGGCCCAAAGCCACACGAAAACTCTGAAGGAATCGAAGGGCTCGGATTGCCAAAGCTCCTAAGCTCTCCTGACTCGAGCAGCAAAGCCGTTGGATAGCTCAACCGAGCCAAAGTGAACATGTTGCTCTCCGGAAAAATAACAAATATCATGTACCCTCCTGTCAGCCCTCAGTCAGGTCCCATATTAGTGGACCAGAGGCTGCCAATATATTCACGTCTAAAGATCCATCCAACTAGCAGCCATGTGCGAAGTGGTCCACAACTTAGCGCCTCGGGACTCTGCAAGCTCAAGATGACTTTTTTTTACCTGGTCCACACTACCAGGGAACCTATAGACCACTTTAGCTTTGTGCACAACTCGAAAATGGATGCAATGAAAACATGATATGGCAACTGCGAGTTGTCATTTGGGCAAATGTAGACACAACACCTACCCATTTGGCACTGGATTTCCCCTTCCGAAGTTGCAATCGGTTCCCTTAAAGCGAAATGGAGGAAGCCCTACTAAAGTGCTAAAACCTCATGCTTTCTTTGCTCATTCTAGTTGAGGGCAAAGGTGTCGATCCCGAAACATTGACCCAAAGGGCTGTGGTTCCCAGGTTTCACCGGCTCTCTTGGTCAATGTTCTACC